CCGTCCAGGCTCCAGTCGGTGACCCCAGGCTCACAGAGACGCCAGGAGCAGTTCAGATGATAACTGCCCGGAGAGTTCCGGAAGCAGGCTAGTACTGAGGCCTGTTTCCTCTCCGCTAAGCAACAGGTCCCCCGTGCAGCCGTGGGGAGAGACTGACACACCCAGAAGAGAAAGACGCTGTGCTGCGTCACTCGTGGACTCACACAGCCAACACTGACTCCGCCTGTCTGTCCCCTGCCTCTCCTCCACCGTGTCCTGTGCCCCTGCTCCCCGTGGGCCAATCAGCAGAAGCAGGTATGTGCCTGGGCTTCCAGGTCAAGCACACAGCCCAGGCCCACAGGAGACTGCTCCTAAGTCTCACAGGCTCTGAAACCTGATGCCTCCAGGACAAGGAAAGGCAGGTTGAGCTTTTAGAGGAGCCAGATTGATCCCAAATTGCCTGAAAACACACCATTTCTATACTCAGCCCCCGAACAGAGCTGGCCACAGCAGTTAAGGCTTACGTAAGAGGCTGAAATCTTAGACTTCACTTTAGCCACGACTGGGCTATCCAGGCTCCAGCTGGTGACCCCAGGCTCACAGAGACATCAGGCTATATGCAGTCCTCATTTTTTCCTTTCTCCTTCTACACTGTGAAGAAGCTACTGATGACAGGCAGGGAATCCCAGGAACCGATGTTTGTAGATCTAAGGCAGCCTGCTGCTTCCTGGCCGGGACTGCCTGCTGAAGGAGGAAACCAAGCCTGCCTCTTGTTCACGGAATGCTCTAGAGTTCAGTGACTTTATGCCATTTCCCCACGCGTGCACACACATACACACACACAAATCCCAAAGTCCCTCTGCACTCACATACCAAAGCCAGAAGAGATCTATACTGATGACAAAATCAGGGGAACATGCTGATCATGGAGGTCAGGCTATTAACTAGTCATTTCTGGGCTGCTATGTACAGCAGAGTGGGCAGCAAGCCGCTATATTTTACAGGTTGTTTGACTTTTGGAAAAAACTATCTACCCAGTGCTCCCAACATGCCCCTTTCTCCGCTGGACAGGGGCCCACACTGGCTTGGTGGCTTGGGATAAAGCTTAAAAGAATATTTCGGCGTATGTACAAGAATGCTCATGCCACCATTATTATTATTATTTTTTTTACAAGTACACATGGCTCTATTTATTTACTTTATTTCTGGCTGCACTGGGTCTTCGGTGCTGCGTGCAGGCTCTCTCTAGCTGCAGAGAACGGGGGCTACACTTCTCTGTGTTGTGTGGGCTCCTCATTGCAGTGGCTTATCTTGTGGAGCAAGGCGCACAGGCTCCAGCAGTTGCAGCACTCAGGCTCAGCAGTTGTGGCGTGCTGGCTCTGGGGCATGCAGGCTTCAGCGGTTGTGGTTCGTGGGCCCTAGAGTGTGCAGGCATCAGTAGTTGCGGTACACGGGCTCAGCTGCTCCATAACATGTGGGATCTTTCCAGAAAAGGGATCGAACCTGTGTCCCTGGCATCGGTGGGCAGAATCCTACCCAGTGCACCACCAGGGAAGTCCTCACACTACCATTATTTAAAAAGCAAAACCAGAAACCACCCAAACACACAGTGATGGGAGAAAGAATAAAGTGTGTATGGTCACAGACTGAACTATCACACAACCAAGAAGATGATCATACTGTCACATACAACCACCAACACAGCTGTCTCTTAGAAACAATCACACAATACGATACTGTTCTTACAAAGTTCAAAATTCAACAGAACTCAATGATACGTTACCCGGGAATACATGTCCATGCGGTAACTCACACTTAGAAAAGGAAGAGGAGACGATTATCACGATGGTGGCGATGTTGTGGGGAGGGGTGGGGGTTGAGAAGAGCATATTGGTTATACTCTGCTTCTCAGGTAGGATGTGAGCTCAGGCGTCCAACATTAGACTTTATAACTAACATACACATGACACGACTTACAAAATAATAAGGAAAAATTACCTGCCTGGTAATTCTGGTTATCCAAAATTTTTTGGGGGGCCACACTGTGCAGCATGTGGGATCTTAGTTCCTTGACCAGGAATGAACCTGTGCCCCTTGCAGTGCAAGCTCGGAGTCTTAACCACTGGACCACCAGGAAGTCCCCTGGTTGTCCAAATCTCACTCAGCACCACCATGACCTACAATCAGGGACGGGAGCAAGGAGCATCCTGGAGGCTTGGGAGCAGGGTCCGAGCCCGGGAGGAACCACCAGCTCGGGTTCCTCACCTATAGAGTGAAAGCGGTCGGTGCTGCCTCGCTCGAGGGCGCGATGAGGGGCAGGGGTGAGGACAGGTAAACCCCAGGCTCCTGAGGGACAGGGGCCACTTGCTGTGTCGGCGAGCGCTGCTTTCTTGCCCCGACTCTCTTCCCCGGGGGGAGTGGCCCCCTCCACTCCACAGTGGTTCTGGGGGCCTACCAAGGCAGGACCACCGCCACCTGCCCCCCGGTGGGGAGGAACAACCCCAGGTTAGGCCAGTGGGAGTGATCTCCCGGGATGTATGAGCACAGGCATGGATGAAAGGATGGCAGGCAGCTGATGCCAAATCACTTGGGCCATGGGGTCCCAAAGGGACGCGGTCCTGCTCCTGAGACCCCTGGAGCCATCCTGCTTTCTGTTCTTCCTGGCAGAGCAGCTCTTCGTGTCTGCAACCAGCCAACATCAGTAAAGAGCAAAACAAAGACAAAAGGCAATGATTCTCGTATCTGAGTTCATCAGAGCAGGTCTCTGTTGCTTGTACTCACGGAAGGCTGGTTGGCCTCCCGATCAGTCTCACTCGCCCCCCAAAACTTTCAGGGTACCTGCCTCCCGGATTCACACAACTCATTTCAGAAGAAGCTCCAGAAAACAGCTTTTAACTCTTGCCTGAACTTCATGCAGCGGTTCCCCACTGCCTACAGCACAGGCCCCACCTCCTCCACCGGCCACAGGGAAGAGGCGACTAGCAAGCATAAGAGTGGAGGGGGCAGCCCCCAGTCCTGCTCTCCGCCCCGGTGAAAATTCCCTTTGACCTCAGAGACGTGTGTGACAGCAGTGGACCAGAAACCTGCCATCTAATAAAATACCATCTTTTAAAAGTAAAAGCCAAATAAAGCCATGATGTTAAAAGTATGATTATCCACCTAGTGATCTGATTCCGAATCAGATCACCCACTGCTCTTCCTATAAATAGGCTCCACCTCGTGTGAATTCCCATGTCAACTGGGGAAGATGACAGCTAGCTGGCCAGATGCACAGCGATCTGAATTAGTCACTCATGGCAGTCAAAATGGTGTATATAAAATAGAATTCTGCCCTTGACTCGAGCCCCTGAACTCTCATCAGCCTATTAAAACAGAAGCTTGGTGAGAAAGCAGATGAGGCTGACAGGTCATTGTGAAATAAACGCCCACTCTCTCACGTGGAAATAACTCTAATATCTTAACCCTGTTTACCCAGAATCCAGTTCTCTCTGCTCATTCCCATCAATGCCAAATTCCTACCTTCATCAGGAAATGGAAGCCCAACGACCCAGAAATAATCTGAGCAGACCTATCTTGCTGCAGATGCTTTCATTTTTATCTTCATTAACTCTTTGGTCCCTGTCAAGCATCCTGGAAGCAGGATTTATGTTTTGGCCACTGGGTCTAGAGGATCTTAACACGTAGACAATCTGTATGTTTAACAGGGGGTAGAAAATACTGTATGTTTTGTAGACAGGTACAAATTGTTTTCTTTTTCTAGTGAAAGAACACCATGTTATCTCATTCACTGTATTTTTTAACTGCAAGAATTTTACAGAAAAGTAGCATGTCACCCAGATGAATGCCACTTAATTTTTTCTCACACGAAATCCCACCCATTTAACAATCCTATGTCTTTCCCCCTCTTAAGAGAGAGGCTTCCCTGGTGGCTCAGTGGTGAAGAATCCGCCTGTCGGTGCAGGAGACACGGCTCCAATCCCTGATCTGGAAGATCCCACAGGCCTTGGAGCAGTTCAGCCCATGCATCACAGCTGCCGAAGCCCTCGTGCTCTAAAGCCTGTGCTCTGTGATAAGAGAAGTCACCGCAACGAGAAGCCAGTGCACTGGGACTGGAGAGCAGCCCCCGCTCGCCACGACGAGAGAAAAGCCTGCCCGGCAATGAGGACCCAGCACAGCCACAAACAGTTATTTACACACACACTAAGTCTGCCCTCTTCAGGCAAATGGACTGAGTGAATACTCACTCATCCTGGGTGACTGGGTATTTGTAAAAGTTCACGAAAGTAAAATGCTAAAGTCCAGGAAATTTACACTAGGCCACAGAGCAGCAGTGCTGGCGAGACGTAGAAAGCACTCAATCCTGAAGCTTGCCTCCATGATGGCCACTAAAAACCTTGCTCTTACTCAGTTAATTCTTCTTTTCTGCGAATGTGGAGGCTCCTCAGTATCTGTGCTCTTCAACTGTGTATTAGGACACAGAGCACCAGAAAATCATCTCACCACTGAAGTCTCAAACACACCTGTCTTTGGTGAATTTATGCAAATACACACATCAGTGGTGAGGTCACGGGGTCAACTTGCTCAGAGCAGAGTCACATCAGAAACAAAATCAGAAACCGTCAGTGATAAGGTCGCACACACTTGCTTCAAATACGGAATGAACTTTATAAATGATTTCCTATAAAACCTGTTTCTGTTTTAAGAGGCTGTTTTTATCAGCAAGATCCAACAGGCGAGCATTCCCATTGTCTTTGGGATACTACAAAAGAGATTCACCAAAACCCATGAAGTGACAGGTGATGGAATCTCACGCTGTACTTCCTGTCTGGGTAACTCTTAGGTGGGCTCTGGGATTTCATTCAAAAGCAATGAATCCACATTCAGAATTTTTAACCTAGAGAATGCCAGTAAAGAGAAGAAACACACTCTTCACCATCAAACTGCGACTGAATTTCCATTCCCGAGCTCTGACAACACAGGAATGTGCACATGGCTCTACAAACAGGTCAGACAGAACTTACCAGAAGCATGGCGGATGTTCCATTGGGTCTGGACAAGTGGATGGTCATTTCAGGGAACATCCGGTCGATGCGGCTGATCACATCATCAACATATCTGAGAGGAAGAAACACACATTTAAGAGCTGGAGCCCCAGTCCAAGAGATACAAATCTACAGTGTACCAGAGGCTTCTCTTCTCAGTTAAGTTTTCATTAGTGAAATACATTTTTAAGAAGGCCAGTGGGATTTATGAGGCTTTTTTTTCCTAAAGCAAAAATATGACTCCCTAGTTCCTCCTCTTGCTTTCCAGAACCATCCTTTTTTTTTTTTTAGTGATTTCTTTTGCTATTTACCTCCATATTTCCACGTGATGTGTTTTTAATGCCAGTCTTGGTCTTTCATTTTAAGGTATGACGTTGTGGCTTTCCTCTATAGATCGGAATTTAATCCCGCCACCTTCCTGGTGACTGGGCTCCACTGACTGGGGCCCCTCCCTCTGTCCCCTGGTTTAGGGTTGGAACTGGCTTCCTGTTTTGCTCACCTCTGTTTGCTTCTTGCGTCCTGCTTCCTTCTCATCTCAATCACTTCAACAGTCAATTCTCTGGATTAAATTCCTTCTGTTTTAAATACCTGAAGTCATTCCCATTTTTCGGGTTTGAGGCTAACGAATTCAAATTACATCACAATTTTTGCTTAAATCAGTATTTATTGTTCACGTTCTAAAATATTTGCTTATTTTTTTAAGGGCTTTATTGAATTTGTTACAGTATTGTTTCTGCTTTATGTTTTGGTTTTTCTAGAAGGAGGCAGGCAGGCTATCTTAACTCCATGGCCCCCTGCTTTGGAAGGCAAAGTCTCAACCCCTGGACTGTCAGGGACATCCCCTCTGCATGTTTTTAATAAATGAGCCACACAGTGGCTCATGGGCACATTTATTTACAGTTTTTTGTTTTTTTGTTTTATTGGATTTTTACTCGATTAGTTTTCTCTGTACCTGTTACAAATTTTCCCCTTAAACTCCCTACCTGACTCTAAAACTTCTCTCACTATGGTCAAACATATCAGACAATCTATCAGTTGCCATTTTTTTTCTGGAAACATCCCTCTGAAAGGCAGTCTTCTGTTTTTCTGGCCCAAATGGAACCTGTATCTCTTAAGATTTAATAATCATTGAGATTACCAACACTAAGCACTTAGCATGGCATATACTAAAACCTCAAAAATTACAAACACTTTCACTGGACTATCATGGGCATTATGGGTAGTCTGCAAAGATGCCCACTCTTTGCAGGAAGACTCCCTCCCACCTCCACCGCCCCAGTGGAAGCCCATTGAGGACACGCCAACCCACAGAATCAGCAGAGTGAGAGCTGGGTCTGGTTCAGATTTTCGGAGAGGAGAATCATAGAAGCATTTGTGCTCACTGTCCACAGTCATGTGACACAAAGGGGATGCAAAATCCAACAGCTGAGACTCAAAACTATCTGTTAAGGCTTTTACATTTGATTTTATACCCATCGGATACAACAAATTAAATTACATGTCTATGAGATCAGGGACATGTAAAAACTATGTTCTCTTGGGGAAAGAGAGAGATTAGCTCTCCACTCACAACATGAACAGACTTTAGTGTGAAACCTGGCGCTCATCAGAGACAGCAGACAACACAATGCCGTGACTATAAACATATAAACTGTGGGGAGTCAGAAAGTAATCTCACTGATTAACTCATCAGGTTTTCCTTAGAGAACACTCCATGCAGTTTTAGACTTCAAGTTGACAAAGGAGGAGAACTCTAGAAGGCCCAGTGGTGGGGAATGATGCTAGGAAGACCAGAACAAAGATGTGTGAGAAGAGGTGGAGATGCCTTCAAGGCTACTTGCCCCTGCACAAGAGGGCTACCTGCAGGGAGACTCAACGTATTCTTCAAGAATGTAAATAACTTTAACAAACTCAGGTACCACACAGTCATCTTCCACCTTGAGAAAGGACCATAAGAGGAGGCTGTGGCATTAAAAAGCAGACTAGCTCAGAAAGAAAAGAGGTGTAAGAGGTACTGCTTAAAGGCAGGGCCCTACGAGGCCCTATTTCTGTAGACTTTGAAAATGGTTTAGAAAACAATCTTTCCTGGATGGCTAAGAGGAAGACTGACAAAGACATCATCTCCATGGTCCTTCCTAGATTTACAGTTTCATGATGCATAACCTTGGCTCTAAGCTTAAATGCTACAAGGAGATGAAAAGATGAAGAGAGGAGGAAATGAACTCATTTTTCATTACTGTCTCCTGTTTCTGGAGATGGTGGAAGACACATGGCAAGATTCATGTCAAAAGTTGACACCAGGTCACTGGAAACATCTCTGCATTTACATACTTCTTTGCTAACTCTATGTGTATGGTTTAAACTCGGTTCTTTCAGACTCAGCAGGAAGCAAAAACCTGCTGTCCTGTGTGGATAGAGGTCATTGCTAAGTATATGCTAATGGGGAGGGGGATTGGCAATGCCTTCTGAACGAATCCTCAATCAATAGCCATCATAGTTCTGGACAGCAGAATGCAAATGAACATGCAGAACTTCAGCACAAAGGTATCTTAATCTGCTCTCCCATATACCGTTCACCTTGTAGGGACTACTTTCTAGAACACTTGTGTCTCTAGTAGGCTGAACTCAGGGGGATAGGTAGGCTAGGTGATGATTCCAGAACCAAGTTCAGGGTGTAGACTTTCAGCATACTAAGCCAACTACCTGACTTGCTTTCAGCAGGAGCCAGAGTTCTGAAAGGGCAGATGATAAATGTTTCTGGCCATTTCTGGAATCCTTTATACGTGAACTCTTCACTTGCAAAGGAAGGCCATGGAGGGAGAAAAGAGTTCCTAGGAGAAATGCCTAACGTGGACACAGGGAAGCAGGGAGGGCTGGGGCAGTATTTTTTTGTTCCCTCTCCAACCAGTGATCTCAGATGAAGCTCAGCAAGCTCGATCCAAAGATTTTATTAAGCACAAATGCATTTCAAGGAGACTGATTTTCCTTCCCGCACCTAACATAAAGGAGATGCAAATTTCCTATTCACAGGTGACATAATGTATTTGCCAAAAAGAGAAAAAGTCAGCTGCATCTTTCACTGAGGAAAACAATGTCTAAATCCTAGAAGCAAAGAAGCAAAACATTTCATTTTCAAGTAGACCCAACCTTCAAACCACAAATCCCCCACTAGTGACTTGACAGAAATAAGGGAAGTTTGGAACGGCAAGTTAAAAAGCTGGAGGCTGAGGAGATGACATTTTCCTTTTGCCGGGGCCTGGGGGCTGTTCTGGCAGGGCGTCCTGGTTTCCTCTCTGGCAGTACCCCCCGGCCAGTGTGCCCCGCCAGCCATGCCAGCGTGTGCAGGGCTGGGCGTGAAGGGCCAGGACAGGTAGGAACAGCGCGCTCCCCGCCCTCCCACACGCCACCATATGTTCTACTCTGCTCTGCGGCAGGATCGAATTACTTTCTTTTTTACCTTTGGAATATAGGCAAACAAGCGCAGCGGCGGTGACTAGTTTACACTTGAGCAGACGTGGTGCGGAACGACATTAATTTAGTGCCAAATTGAGCAGTGAGTCACAATTTGCACATATCTGTCAACCTGTTAACAGGGTAATAACTTGGAAAGATTGCTGTTCCTATTTACATTACAGAGGCCTTTAGAAAACGGAGAGCTGCTTGGTTCTCCCTCCATGAAGCACGCAGCCCATCAGCTGGCTGGCTGGGCCAAGAATCAGGCTTTTAGAAACATAAACTCCTAGAAATCACAGGTTCAGATCAAGGTGTGATTCATAGATTCAGTATTTTCAGGTAGAAAATGAATCCTTAAGCAATTAGAGAATTTCATTTCCCTGTCCTGCCGACCCCCCCCCCCCCCCCCCCCGCCCAGTTACAGTCAGACTCTCAATGGTTTCTGATTCAATTTCCTTCGTGCATCTGAGGGTTCCTTCTCAGGGTTTCCACAGGCTTCCTTAGCACCAAGTTCCAGTCTCAACTATTCCAACATCTCTGCTTCATCAGAAACAACCATGCCGTTCTCAGGTTCCTAACGTTCATCTCTGAAGCCCTATAAACCTTATTCTCTCCTGATTTTCTTCAAGGAGCGTGGCCCCCTCCTGTAAGTGTCTTTGGTCAGAGAATTCACACTGGGACCCCAGAGGTCCTCTTACTCAGTGTCCCTGTCAATCTAGGGATGTAACAGCATCTCCAAGAGGCGGTTTGCTTCAGTCAACAACCCTGGAGCGCAGCTCACAAGGCAGCCCCACTCACTGCTGGACTCCCAGGCTGCTTGCAACCCACTGACCAGGGCTTTCACCCAGTGCCCCGCTTCAGTCTTGAGCCTTGTGAAGCCACACACAGACACTGCCTTTGAACTCTAAGGCTTTCTGCAAACACATAAAAGACTATCAGGCCTTCCGGCTCATCAGTGCTTTTAACTCTATCTTGGGTCACAGATCCCTTTCAGAAGGTGCTGAAAACAAAAACACATGTCTGCACACAATTTTACATACAACTCTCTGCAGTTTATAGGTCCCTTAAAGTCCATTCATGGACCCCAAGTTCAGAATAACTTCTCTAGACCTGTTCTAGAATGGAGGTATCTGGTTCTCTTCTTTGTTCCTTTCTGAATGGTAAACTGTACAGTATTTTTCAATAAAGCTATCTTCACCTTAGAAATAAATATGTATCAGCCTACAAGTGAACACACTGAAGTGTTATATGGGGGTACAACGGATCTCCTAGCTCTGATCATCTTAAAATCATGCTTCCATGTTGGAGTTCAAGGTTAATGTTTGTTCTTAAACTACTGCCTCTCACTGCTAATCTTTTCAACAAAGGCAAAGACCTACTTCTGTGACCTTTGAGGTCACCTGATAGTGAGTAAACCTTTCTGCCCTGACAGCCACATCATACCTGAGCTTTACGGAACCTCTGTGCTTCTATAAAGAAAGAACCCCCTGCCTTCTGCATCACCCCTAAAGGCATAAGTCAGGGGTGAACTCAACCTCTAGTCCTAGGAGGCCAAGTCCAGGTGCTGGTCTGGCCCCACCTCCTCCCTCCATGACCCCAGCAGGCTGGCAGCACCTTACA